GGAAGTGATCACTGCGTCCACTGTTTTCATGAGTTCATTGCCTAAAAATGTATATATATTTACTGCAAAGATATCTACTATTGAAATATCGGTCCGAATGGGAATCGCAGGCAAAAGTACAAAACCTAATGATTTCATTGAAAGACTTGGATGTTATGAGTGAACTCCAGAGATCTAATGGGAATGGTATTAAAGAATTCACTGAACATTACGGACCACTCACTAGAGATTTATACGGATTAAAACTGGAGTAAAAGTATTGTAACTATTATTACATTCAAACATTATAATTAATGTAAAGTATTGAGAGTATTAAAAAAATAAAATTCTGGTTATAAATCTTGTGGATTAATAAGTGATATAAAATTATCAAATAAAATATTTTCAAGGTAACATTAAATCTATTATTTAGCGATAATATTAATACCTATTTTGTGCAATATGTGTCTAAATGAGTCATAATTCTATATTACTGTTGAAAGTAAGAATAAACAAATTAGCTAGATTTCTATTATTATATGACATTATTTCGCTATAAATATAAAATCATTATCATGCTCTTATGATAGATTGTGGGTACATTGAATAATATACTTATTGGCAGTATTATTACAAATAAAAATTTATTTTTGCTAATTAAATCCAACAAGATTTACGACTAAACGGTGTAATAGTCTATTACTAATATGTATTAAAAATGTCTATTAAATCAATATCTAGTGATAAGAAAAATAGGTTATCAATGATAACTTATCATGGTAAGCCTTACCAGGTAAGGTAAAGTCTTTATCATTTATAAAATACTAGTATTAAATATTTATATTTTGTTTTTAATGTCCATCACTAAGAATTAAGTTCACAGATTACTTCTAAAATGCCCATATTATTTTTAATTATTTATTATAAATAAAAGTAATTTAGTTATTAATTTTTGAATGAGGAATTTACGGTTAAATATTTGGGACAATTTGTGTAATTTTATACAATTATAATAGTTTTATCATAAGTGTTTTGAGAGTTTGTAACAATCGCATTGTACATGCGTAACAATTGGAGGTTATCTCATATTAACGCACAACTATAAATGGAAAGTTTTATTTTTTTGTAAAGTCATCTAGCAACAAATTGATTTAATTTGGTGATAAATACAAATTCTAGTGCAATTGGTGTTTATACTTTTACTTTTAAATAATTAAATAAATATATTTAATAATTACTAGATGTTGATTAGTAAAAAATAAAATTAACTAGATAATCTGTTATTTAATGTAATTGTTATGAAATTACCGTATTTTGTGAAAAGTATTTTAAAATATTTTATTTAATATTTAAATGAAAGTAAATAATCCGCCGAAAGTGTGTGAGATTTGCGGAGATAAGGCTTTTTGTAAGTAATGTTTGTTTTATTATTAACTAAAAATTTTTAATAAATTCGTTGTGTTATTGTATTTAAGGCCGAAATTTTGGTGCTATTTGTTGTCAGTCTTGTAAGGCCTTCTTTAGACGAAATGCATATAAACATAAGGTTTTGTATTAATTAATTGATATTTTTAATATAATTTACTAACTGTTTATTTATTTCATTAGAAATTTGTGTGCATTTTAGACGATAATTGTCTCATAAGTGTTAAGACAAGAACTGAATGTCAAAAGTGTAGAATTGAAAAATGCTTTACAATGGGAATGAAAAAGGTAAGATTATAAATAAACTAGATCAAATATTTATTACATATAGTAACATTTTAAAATAGGAAATAATTCAACGAAAAGAAAGGCCAGAAATCACTACAAATTCATTGTTAGAAAAGTCAGATAATTCTCAATCAAATAGTATTAGTAATAGTATTACGAGTAGTAGTGGTTTGACATCACTTTCCGATGAAAGTCAAGAGGATATTTGGGAACTGATCGATGATATCATTGATTGTAATACCGATAGCAGTGATGATGTCTTCGCACATGAATTGATAGAAATCAACAAAACAGACACAGAATTAGTCCCGATATCCAAACCGCTCACCGATTATAACGGCTTAAAACAACTTGAGTTTCACCGGATATCGGAAGTAATCAATGCGTCCACTGCTTTCATGAGTCCGTTGCCTAAAAATATATACCAAATCGAGAATCTGCCAAAATTTGCCAATAGATTAATACAAATGGCTGAAAATGATATACAAAACGTTATAAACTTTACCACAAGTATCACTGGTTTTGGGAATATGTGTCCCGAAGACCGGTATTATCTGTTCAAATATGGTTGCAGTGAAATAATAAGCGTCAGGAGTTTGGCTACTTTTAATGAAACCACACAAAACTTCATGATTAAAATGGTAATTATTATTAAAAATTTAAAAATATCATTTAATAATAAATAACCAATCTTTACATATATCTTAAATAGGATGACGATAATACACTTGTGGCCAATTTTGACACATTTTCAAGTTTAGGTACTCCCGACTGGTATTTGTTGTTTAATAATGTATACATTAGTTTTATGAATAAATTATTACCTGAATGGCAATGGGACTTAATTATATTAAACTTGGTAAATTGTTTAATTAATGCTGTCTATTATTGAATTATAGAAACATGATTATATGATTTTTTTTATACATTTGTACATTTTTATATTAAAAACAGTTATCAGCAATAGTCTTATTCAACCCCAATCGACCAAACCTTATCCATAGGGATATAATTAGGTTTGTTTTATTGCTTTTATTTATAAAATAGTTATATTAAATGTTTATAATTAATTGTTTGTTAGACTCGAACAACAACTGTATATATATTTATTGGAAAGATATCTACTATTGAAATACGGATCCGAATGGGAATCACAACCAAAAGTGCAAAAACTAATGAATTCAATGAAAGACTTGGAAATAATGACTGAAATTCAGAGAACACCTGAAGCCATAGATCCCATGAAAAAAGCGGTTGATTTATACGGACCTCTTTGTATCGATTTATATGATTTGAAACTCTAGTAAACTATTGAAACTATAATAACATTCATAAATTAATATTAAAATAAAGTATTAAGAATATTAAGAATATTTAACATTATTTTATTTTGTTGCTAATTTAATATAACATTATCAAATAAAGTACAATAGTATAATAATATTTATTTGTTCAGCGATAAAATTAATTTCCAGATTGTTATATCACATGAAATTAGTTTACCTTATTTATAATTATGTAGGTTAAGTTGTGTGTGTTTTTGATAGATTGTGGGTACATTAAATATTGTAATAACTAAAGTATATTATTCTAGATAAAAATCTCTCAATAAATATATTAAGATTTACGAGTAAATGGTGTAATAAATAGATATCACAATATTTAACTCAATGTCTGGTGATTAGAAAAATACTTATCAATAATTGTAATTATTCTAAAGTACGCAAAAGTTAAAATTACTGATTTATCATTCTTTGTAGTTTGTATATAAATATAACAATAACTCGTAAATTATTAGTAAAATTTAACAAGTGTAAGAATCTAATTAAGAATTCATATTAATAGTAACACAAATAGTTTTTAAAATGAAATTTAGTTACGTTTATAAAATTTATAGGATTTATTAAGTTAGAGTTCCCAACTTGGGCAATTAGTGGTTAAAATAATGCTACTTTTATCACGAGTGTTTTTTAATCAACTTTTGCTACAATCATAGATACATGCGTTAAGACTCGGATTGACGTATAATTAAAAGATTGAAAGTTCTATATTTCACCAATAGTCTTGTAATATCATCTAGGTACAAATTGGCTCAATTAGATTATAAATATAAATTGCTGTTTATATTATATTTAATGTTTTCTAGTTTATAACATAAAATTATTTATTAAATCATTTATCAAGTAAAATTATTGTTATATAAAGTATTGAAAAAGTATTTAAACTAAATTACTTTTTATTGAATATGAAAAGTTGCTTTATTAAATGTTATAAATATTTAATTTAATACTGCAATGAAAACCAACAATAATACCAAAGTGTGTGAAGTTTGCGGAGATAAGGCTTTTTGTAAGAAATATTTTCACTTTTATTTCAATCATTTTTATTATAAATTTTTTACTTTTAATTGTATTAAATCTGTATTAAAGGCAAAAATTTTGGTGTCATTTGTTGCATGCCTTGTAAAGCCTTCTTCAGACGAAATGCATTCAATTATAAGGTTTTGTATAAATTATTTGTATTTTTAAAATATAATTAATTAATTGTATAACTTAATAGAAATTTGTTTGCCTTAAAAACGATAATTGTCTCATAAGTGTTGAAACTCGGACTGAATGCCAAAAATGCAGAATTGAAAAGTGCTTTAAAGTGGGAATGATACAGGTAAGTTTATTTACAAACAACTAGATTATTGTCAATATTTATTACATTATGATATCTTAATTGACAGGATTTAATTCAAAGAAAGGATGAGAAGGAAATTACAACAAATTCACAAAGAAATAGTAGTGACAATAGAATTACGAGTAGTAGTAGTTTGACATCACTTTCTGATGAAAGTCAAGACGATATTTGGGAACTCATCGATGATATCATTGATAGTGATTGCAATATCTATAATAATAATGATGTCTTCGCACAACCAGTGATGGATTTTAACACAACAGACACAGCATTACTCCCGATATCTAAACCGCTCACCGATTATAACGGTTTAAAACAACTGGAGTTTCAACGCATCTCTGAAGTGATCACTGCGTCCACTGTTTTCATGAGTCCTTTGAGTAAAAATATATATAAAATCAATGATTTATCGGAGTTAAGGCGACTATTGATACAAATGTCAGAAAATGATATTCAAAATGTCATAGTATTTGCCAAAAGTATCACTGGTTTCCGGGATATGTGTCCTGAAGACAAGTATTGGCTTTTTAAATATGGTTGCAATGAAATAATAGACGTCAGATGTTTGGCTGGTTTTAATGAAAGTACGCAAACCATCATGTACAAATTAGTGAGTAATACAACTGAGACTAAATTAAGCTGGAAATATCACTTAAAGTTACAATTAATAAATTATATTTGTACTTTATTTGCCTTAAATAGGATAATGACAATACGGTGGCTCTTACTAGGAAAACATTGACAAAGTTAAATTCAGTTGAATGGTTCCAATTAGTTATGGACATATACATGGGGTTTATGAATAAAGTTTTACCTGAATGGCAATGGGATCTAACTGTATTGAACTTGGTATGTTATTTAATTACTTTTATGCTATAAATATTTTAAAGCTATTGTATAAATGTATTAATTTAATTGTATAACAGTTATCAGCGATACTCCTATTCAACCCAAACCGGCAAAACCTTATCAATAGGTCTATAATTAGGTATGTTTTGTGGAGAGTTGTTATTTTAAATATTGGTAATTAATTGAATTGTTTGTTAGACTCGAACAACAACTGTATATATATTTACTGCAAAGATATCTACTATTAAAGTGTAGATCGGAATCGGAATCACAATTAAAAGTACAAAAACTATAATAAAGTTTTACCTGAATGGCAATGGGATCTAACTGTATTGAACTGTTTGTTAGACTCGAACAACAACTGTATATATATTTACTGCAAAGATATCTACTATTAAAGTGTAGATCGGAATCGGAATCACAATTAAAAGTACAAAAACTAATGATTTCATTGAAAGACTTGGAAATATCAAATGAAATCCAGAGAACAAATACAGAAGAGATGCAAAATCGAGTTGAATTATACGGACCACTCATTAGAGATTTATATGATTTAAAAGTAGATTAAATCTATTAAAACAAAATTTATATTTGTATATTAAGAATATTTTAAGAATGATATTATTTTACATTTTTAAAGTATAACAACTATCGAATTAAGTATTTACAAAATTCACCGACAACTTTTCTACCTAGAATTTAGATTGTATTAACAAATTGAAATGTCTTATGTACACTAACTTATTTTTTACATTATCATGTTTTGTTAATAATAATATCTATTGTTTGAAATATTACTGTAGATAGTTTTTAGATCATTAGGTCATGATCATCTAATCTCTTTTATTTTGCGATTTATAATAAAAAGTAAAAGTTTAATCGTTAAAGTTAATAGGTATCAAAACTATTTATATCGATGTTTATTAGAACAATGCTTATCACTGGTACAGGTAATTTATCTACGTTAAAATAGGCATATAAATGTTAAAATTTATTACTTATTTAAATAAGCTATCAATCTACAAAATAATATTAATATAACATGATTTAAAACTGCTATTTATTATCTATTTATCTTAAAATAGTTTTAACACAGAATTTACAGAATTAATAACAAAATTAGTTAAAATTATAAAAATTATAATTAATACCGTTTATCATAAGTGCCTTTTGTGATTTTACAATAGTCACAGAATACATGCGTAAAGATTGGATGTTATCTCATAGACGTAGTGCACAATACAATTAAATTAATAGAGCTTTATAATCAACTAGCAACAAATTCACTCACTTATGTTGTAACTTTATATAAATTCCAGTTTCATTATTGCTTTATCATCTTTTCTAATTTTATACTTTATTAAATAAAAACCAGTTATTAATAAAATTATTATTAATTAATATATTTAAAAATAATTTAACTAATTAAATAATCTGTTATTATAAATCAGTTGAATGTTTACATTATATAATTTTATACTTCAATGAAAATCAATAATCCGACAAAAGTGTGTGAGATTTGCGGAGATAAGGCTTTTTGTAAGTATTGTTTTTTACATTTAAATCAAACCTTTAAACAAATTCTTAAATTTTTATTTTGTATTTAAGGCCGAAATTTTGGTGCAATTTGTTGCCAGTCTTGTAAAGCCTTTTTTAGACGAAATGCGTTCAAATCAAAGGTTTGTATTAATTATTTTAATACAAATCTATTTAAACTAATTGTGTATTTAATTTGTTAGAAATTTGTGTGCATTTCGGACGATAATTGTTTCATTAGTGTTAAAACAAGAACTGAATGTCAAAAATATTCCGAGCGGTATTTCAATAGTAGATATCTTTGCAGTAAATATATATACAGTTGTTGTTCGAGTCTAACAGTCAGTTGTAAAGAAAATAATTCAATTTATTTTTGAATTTATGTTAAATAATATTTAAAATAACAATTAAGTTATTGTTTAACAAAGGAATTGCAATAAAACAAACCTAATCATATCCCTATGGATAAGGTTTGGTCGATTTGGATTAAATAAAATTATCGCTGATAACTGTAACGAAAATAATTAAAATTAATAATTATTTACTATTTTAATAGTTACGAAATGCATATAAAAATTAATTAAATAATATACCAAGTTCAATATAGTTAGATCCCACTGCCATTCAGGCAATACTTTATTCATAAAATTCATATTTATATTTTGAATCAATCGGTACCAATCAAATGAATTTAAGTTTGTGAATGTGTCAATTGTGGCCACAAGTGTATTGTCATTATCCTAATTAAGGTAAATAAAGCAGAATTGTCATTTATTGATCTTAATTTTGATCCTATTGTTATTACTTACCAATCTATACATGATCGTTTGCGTAATCTCATTAAAACCAGCCAAACACCTGACGTATCCTATTTCTCTGCAGCCATATCTAAATAGACAATACTTGTCTTCCGGACACATATCCCGGAAACCAGTAATACTTTTGGTGAATACCATCACATTTTTTATGTCATTTTCTACCATTTTATACCAAAGGCGTCTGAATTCTTGTGAATCATTAATTTGGTAAAGATTTTTAGGGAATGGACTCATGAAAACAGTGGACGCAGTGATCACTTCCGATATACGGCTCAACTCCAGTTGTTTTAAGCCGTTATAATCGGTGAGGAGTTTGGGTATCGGGACTAATGCTGTGTCTGTTGTGTTGCTATCCATCACTTGTAATGCGAAGACATTATCACTGCTATCGGTATTACAATCACTATCAATGAGACCATCGATCAGATCCTTTATATCGTCTATAATTTCATGAGAAAGTGATGTCAAACCACTACTACTCGTAACACAACTACTATTGATCGGCAAAATACACGATGACATTTGTAGCCGTGAATTTGTGGTAATTTCCGGCTCATTATTTTGCGTGACTATTACCTGTTATTTGAAATATTAAATTGTGTTTTAATAAATATTAACAATGATTTAAATTGTGATATAAACTTACATGTATCATTCCTGCTTTGAAACATTTTTCAATTCTGCATTTTTGGCATTCAGTCCTTGTCTTAACACTTATCAGACAATTGTCATCTGAAAGGCACACAAATTTCTAATAAATTATACAAACAATTAATTATTTATATTTAATAATTACAAGTAATTAAAATCAAACCTTATGTTGGGATGCATTTCGTCTAAAAAATGCTTTACACGACTGGCAACAAATAGCCCCATAATTTTTGCCTTCAATTTAATCAAAAATTAATTAATTAAAAAAATGTTTGAATAAAATAAACATAAAACATGTCTTACATAAAGCCTTATCTCCACAAATCTCACAGATTTTGGTTTTGTTGTATGTTTTCATTTTAGTATTAAATTAAATACTTTAAACATTTAACAAAATAATTAAAATTGTTTGTTATTATGAATAGTTTAATAAATATTATAAATAGTTTTTATTTTATAATTTATAACTTATAAAATATAAAATCGCAAAATTACAATCAAGGCAATTTTATTTATACTCCAATATTATATGACTTTTCATTAGTGCAATAATTACAAAATACATGCGTTAAGCATGTATTTTGTGTTTATTGCAAAACACCAAACACATGATAAAAGTACCAGGATTATAAAAATCTAATTCCACCCCATAGAATGTAAATGAATTCATGGTAAATACTAATTATTAAATAAATACTAAAAATACAGATTAGATTAATTAATTAATTCTCTATTATTGTTATAAAAATACAAATAAAACTACCATGAATAATAAATCAATAAATTTAACGTTTGAATATTGTTAGATAACTTACCTTTTCACTAATCACTAGACATTGATTTCAATACTTGTGATATCTATTACACCATTTACTCGTAAATCACAGTATATTTATTGAGAAAATAGATTGTCATCTATAATAATTAACATGTTATTCAATGTACCCACAATCTTTTATATCAGTATGATAAAAAGTTAAAAGTACACAATAGTATAAACCAAGACAAAACAAATAAAACTTTATTATATGTGGTCTATACTGTTGAATTTAAATACATTTCTCTAAATACACATTTAAATACACAACACAAACATCATTAATACTCAATGATAGCTATTACAGTATATTACTTATAATATACAATTGGCGTATTTACACTTAATATACACTCGTGCGATCACTTGGTATATAACAATTGAAATCAGCAGGTGTGGTTTATTTTATAATACTACACGATGATTCACCTAAATACATATTTTGCAATACATCCAGGTATACACGTATAAACATATTATTTGATAGAGTCTGAGAAAATAGTATCGCATGATTTGTTTGAACTGTAATGAATTGCTATATCAATACTTTATCTAGTTTGAGTATCTTTTACTTTAAAATTGCTATAAATTAATTAGATAATGATTGAATTAATATAATGTACAGTACAGTATATGTAAATATGCACTAATTATTTGTATAATTAAGACAATTAATAATTGTTAATTATTAATATTTATTTTAATAATTTGCTCTCAAATTTATTTTATTTTGCAATATTTTTAATTCATTTAGTAACGAATAAATCAAATCAAAGTTTTAATAATTTTACTCTAGTTTTAAATCATAGACATCTCTGAGTAAAGGTCCGTATAATTCAATGCTGTTTTGCATGCGATCGGTATGTGATCTCTGGATTTCCGTCATTATTTCCAAGTCTTTTAATGAAAACATTAGTTTTTGTACTTTTAATTGTGATTCCCCTTCCGATTGACACTTAAATAGTAGATACCTTTGCAGTAAATATATATACAGTTGTTGTTCGAGTCTATAGAATAAGTTAATTATTAATATAATATTTAAAATAGCAATTATCCACAAAACATACCTAATTATATGCCTATTGATAAGGTTAGGCCGCTTTGGGTTAAATAAGACTATTGCTGATAACTGTAATTAATATAATTAAAATTAACACATTGATTATTAATAATTGTTTGTAATTATTGTTAATGCATATTAAAGTAACTAAATAATATACCAAGTTCAATACAGTTAGATCCCATTGCCATTCTGTTGATACTTTGTGCATAAAATTCATGTGCATATCCTGAAGCAATAAAAACCAATCAAATGAATTTAGCTTGGTCAATGTTTTAGAATCGCCCACAAGTGTACTGTTATTATTCTGTATTTGTAACAAATAAATAAATATTATAATATGTGTTTATTATATTCTATTATATTTTTGTTTGTAATAGTAATAATAATATTTACCAATTTGTACATGTAGGTTCCAGTAGTTGCATTATAATTAGCTACATTTCTGACGCTTATTATATCACTGGAGCCATATTTGAAGAGCCAATACTTGTCTTCGAGACACATATCCCGGAAACCACTTATACTTTTGGTGAAGTCTAAGACATTTTGTGTATCATTTTCGGACATTTGTATCAATAGTCGCCTCAATTCCGGTAAATAATTGATTTGATATATATTTTTACTCAAAGGAATCATGAAAACAGTGGACGCAGTGATCACTTCCGATATACGGCTCAACTCCAGTTGTTTTAAGCCGTTATAATCGGTGAGGGGTTTGGATATCGGGACTAATGCTGTGTCTGTTGTGTTGCTATCCATCACTTGTAGTGCGAAGACATCATCACTGCTATCGGTATTACAATCACTATTACAATCAATGATATCATCAATCAGTTCCCAAATATCGTCTTGACTTTCATCGGAAAGTGATGTCAAACCACTACTACTCGTAATACTATTACAACTATTATCATTTGTTATCATTTCTTTCTCATCTTTTCTCCGGATTATTTCCTATTTTAAAATTTTAATTAATATAATAAAAATAGACAATTATCTAGATAAATAAGGTTTTGTTTAAATTTACCTTTCGCATTCCCATTTTAAAGCATTTTTCAATTCTACATTTTTGACATTCAGTTCTTGTTTTAACACTAATGAAACAATTATCGTCCGAAATGCACACAAATTTCTAACAAATTAAATACACAATTAGTTTAAATAGATTTGTATTAAAATAATTAATACAAACC